CAAAGAAGGTCGGCGCAAGTAAAGGAAAGGAACTGTGGAACGTGCGGCAAGGTAGGGCATAATGCGAGAACGTGTCAAATAGTTGTTTCGATGTCTGGAGAAGAGGAAAGCGATTAGTTTTACTTGATTGCGTGATTTGTTGTGTTCTCATGACGATTCCTGTCTCAAGGGTTAAGATTTTTGTAACACTCGCTTGTTTGTAACACTCGCTTATCATGTACGTTAGCATTATAGTTATAGGGAATTATATTTTACATTTTATATAATATATTATAATAAAGTAGAATAATATATAGCTATATACTTTATATATTTAGTATAGATTTAGTTAAGAGCATAACGCCAATAAAATAGGTGGCAAAGACAACTAACTGCTAGAGCTCAGAGTCAATTATTCGGTGTCGAAACGGATAATCCTGGCTGTGCGGCGAGTTGTTAGGAGGTTCACGTTAGAGCTCACAGTATCATGTACAATAGGCAAAACTCAACAGCCTCTCAATCTGGGCCCTTTCAATTGATCTCAGAACCTCATCCGAAAGCTCAATCCCGAAGCATCCCAAAATTCCTCGTTTCACAAATCAACGCAGCAGCCCAAAACCGTCTAAATGACCCAGAAACCCAGTTCAAATAAAACAAACTGCATCAAGGACCTTGAGATATTCTAAGAGAACACTCCCAAGCAATCCCAATCTGGTCCATCACGCATGCGCCATGGCCCAGTCAAACCTTTCGGTTGTATCGAGAGGTACTTCAATAGATGCACCTTTCCCAGAAACCAGCTTCAAAACAGTGAATTCGGTTCTGATATTGGTGCTATCAACCCAGCAAATCCCATTATCGGAAGGACTGACAGCAATCACCCCTTGAGGATCTCTGTTGAAACCGACAAGGGCTACGCCAGGGTAAGTTACCGCCTCATCCATCGGCAAGATGGAATTGTCCAGGCGGTATGCTTGCAGTGCATGCACAACACGCTGTATCCTAGGATCAGCACCGTCCAGTGCTTGCATGAACTGTTGGACTTTAGCGGTTGGTCCCAGGAGATTTGCTATCTGACACATGACAAGACGTTGTATCAGATGCAACCGAGGGTCACCAATCGCCGCGCCAAAAGCTTCAAGGAGTAGCTGCGCGACAGCAGATAGCATGGAATCGGAGTCCAGCATCGCCTTCTGCAGCTGACATAGGAAAGCCAACAAGTCTTTTGCATCGGCTGACTTGTCCTTTAATGTGACAAGCAGGTCGAGAGCAACAGACTCGAGATTACGGGTATCTTGTCTGGTCGCAAGAGATACATCTCCAGACCAGGACGAAAAGACAACCCATGGTTGCCACTCGGCCGAGGTAAGGGAAATACTTGTCGAGTCAACAAGTACTCTCTCCGCAATACAATTCCAGGCATCAGACTCGACATTCAACGAAAGATATCGCAAGAATGTCGAAGCCCTCTGTATCTGTGAATTGATCGTTTCGTCACGCACCTTGATCGAAGCATCCTTCTCCTCAGAAGCTTGTTCAAGCTCCGAGATCCTCTGATGCTTCGTTTCAAGGTCACGTTGCTGCTCTTCAACAGTGAGCTGAAGAGCTTCACATTGACCTTTGACTCTGCTAAGCTCCTCATTTGCCGAAATGAGGCTCTTAGAGTCACTTGAACGAGCGATTTGGAGTTTCCCAAGTTCGTCAGAGACTTGTTGGAAACCCCTATCAGCTTCATTCTTCTCAGTCTGTAGACTTCTCAACTTATTGAGATGGTCATCGCGACTGGTTTCCAATTCTGATTGTAGCTGCTGCACCAAGGCGTTGGCTTTCTCAGAGGAGTTCTTCAGAGCTGTGATCTGCTTCCCTCGGTGCTCGTATTGTCGACTCAGCGAGGAGATCTGAGTAGTTTGGTTGCTGTGTAAAGATTCGTATCTCCTGACAGTGCCACTGAGCTCCGAAATCTTCATCTCCAGGCCAACCTTCTCATCCTCTGCCGTCTTAGCCCGACTCTCCGCCTCTACAGCCTTTGCTTCGGCTTTATAGACTTGAGCCTTGAGGGACGACTCGTTTCGTCTGGCCAAGTCTCGCTCCAATTGCGGATAATCTCTTGTGGCCTTTTCAAGGTCTTTCTTGGCCCGGTAGAGATCCCGAGATTGTTGTTCAGACGTCTTGGTCAACTTCTCGATCTGCTTTTTGCTCTTTTCCCAGGCCTTTTTGAACTCATCGCGCTCTTCGTTGTATCTAGTAGTGAGGCTGCGATTGTCACTCAGTGCCTTTTTGAGGGAAGCAAGCTGCTTTGCTGGATCGGACCCTTGGGCTGGCGGATCCGCGTTGGAAACCGCCAGTTCCCTGAGGGCCGTTTGTGCAGTTGCATTCGTCGCAGGGGTGACCTGGACACCCCAGCCGCTGTAGAACAGGCGGGTGTTCTCAGCTGACCCTGCGACGTAGTTCACCACTCTATCAGATGCTCTTTTGCGAGCCTCTTTGTCTTTCAGATCAATGCCAGTCAGAGGTTTACTCTGGCTCGCTATGATTGACTTCTTAGTGAGTGCAATATCTCCCTTAGGGCCGTTGGCCTCATTTCGGGCGATATCCGTCTCCTTCAGAAGGGCTGTGGTCTTTCGCAGCTTTTGCGGATCATAGCCAGCCATGGTAGCCTTGTCCTTGCCAGGGGGGGCACCATCTCTCAGAGCAGCTATTCCCCCGATGACCTTCCTGAGTTCATTCTCAGTCTGGTCAACTTGGGATAGCACGTCTGGTTGAAAGCTGTGATTTGCAGCAAGTGGTTGGCGCATGAGCGCAGAGTTCCTCGAGCTTGAAGCCATCTTGATGGGAGCATGGAAGAATGAAGTTTTAGAATGCGGACAGGATGAGATCACGGCACTTGACCTCCTCGACAAGAAAGGGGCGTCTACGTGAGCAATCCATGGGCTGTTGTGGAAGGAAGACCTCGACTTCAAAAGTGGAAGTCACGTACAGAGGACCAGGGGAACCCGTTACCTAGATCACATTATGAGAAATTAGAAACGATTACAATTATTGGTGCCCTGCATGAACAGGTCAACTCCCCTCTCGTTCACAATGGAGGACTAACGTTGGACTCGTGTACGTTTATGTGCAAATGCTGTGATGGCTTCCAAGTCAACTTTCGAGTGACGCATGGATCAATTGCAACTACTTTTGGCTTTGTATCTAGTAAACGGATCATACACTGTATTCAAGTCCAATGGAACTGGGGCATGAGTTGAATTTTGGATGCTGCGACTCTCTACCCCGTCCTGTAAGGACTAGATTCTCTCGGCTGGATTGAGCTCTCAGCCACAGGAACGAAACTGTAAGCTCAACACCAAGTAGCCAGAACCTGGAGTGAAGGCGTCTCGATAATAATAGCCCAAATACTTAGTGTTTATCTCTCAATGGAAGACATTGCGCATTGGATCATGCTGAAATTGGCACGTGAGGTTTGTATGTGTACGTACCAAGGTGGGTGCACCTTCCCTTCGACTTGAACTGACACGAAGCTCGTTTTCCCTTCAACATCACACTCTCAAAGCAATCCAGCAAAATGGACGCACAACAAGAGACTAGTCGTGTACTGAACCTCACACAGCTCGACCTCATCCTCTCTTTCCTCCCTGACGCGGGCGGCGCAAAGATCCTTCGTGATCAATTTGTGTCTGCCTGTCGGATAGTAGAGGCGAAGGAGAATGAGGCTCAAGCATCCCATGAGAGAGCCGAGAGCCAGTCGAACCTCCTTCGAGACCAGCTCGAGGAGCTTAAGACTGAGCGAGGAGAGTTCCAAAAGCAGAAGAGCCTAGAGACTGAGAAGCTCAAAGATGAGCAAGCCAAGCTCAAGGCACTTGCTGAAACACTGGGCTCACAGTTCCAACACCTTTCCACAAATGCGGGTAAAGTGACGGAAAGGGTGAACGATTGCCAGAAGACCGTGGCAGAAAAGCTTCACAGCCTTGCGGAGGCCATCTCACATCGTGCCTCTGACCGAGAAGAGAATGTCAATCTCCTCAACAAAAGGGTGGAAGACTTACTGAACTCCACCAAACAGAACACAAAAGACTTGTCCTCGATGAAGGGTAAGTCTGATGAGATGGCGACCGCAGTGGACTCTGTAAAAGAAGACCAGAAGCGGATCGAATCATCCCTCAGGAATGGTGTGACAATGGAAGGCATGACAGAGCAAATTGAGCCGCTTGTCGAACTTGCCAACGCCATCAATAAGGTAGTTGAGGAACAGCCTACAGTGCAGTTCTTGGATACCAAATTTGCTGAAGTTGGACGTCTTGCTGAGCAGCTTCAACAAGCCTATGCCAAGGTGAATGAGCTGACCCAAGAAAACCAGACACTCAGGAACGACAATGAGAACTTGAATACGGAAGTAGGTCATGCTCGTGACTTCAAAGCTCAGGCTAAGGATGCATTTGATGACTTTGAGGAGCGTGTCAAGGACAAGGACTCCAAAATAGAGGAGCTCCAAGGAGCGAGAAATGATTTGCACAACCAGTTGATGGAGGCAAATTCACAGATCTCCCAGGGTCAAGACGCAAGTCGAGAGCTTCAGAGGGTCCAGCGTTCACTTCGAACCGCTGAGGCTGACTGTCGAGAGCTCGCTAGTGTCAAGACCAGGCTACAGCAAGCAGAGCAGTCGGAACCGAGGCTGGCGCAAAAGGTCACAGAGCTCAAGCGCAGTTTCGAGGGCGAGAAAAAGGCTCATGACGTATGCTCATCCAAGCTGACAGAGGCTTTGACGAGCCTAAGAGATGTCAATCGCCAGAAGGAAAAGCTGGAGGATGACATTTTGCGGGTTCAAAACGAGCTAAAGGAGCTTCGCTCACAGCAGACCCTTGACCTTCAAAAGCAATTGAAGGATCAATGGGATGCTGTGAGCAAAGCGATGAAGGAACAACTGTCTGAAAGGCACAGCCATGAAGAAACTGTTCGTCAGTTGAAAGACTCGTGGTCTTCGGAGAAGGAAGCGCTGCAAGGTCAGATATCTGCCAAGGTTTCACTTATTGGGAATCTAGAGCAGGAAATCCAGACACTGCAGTCTAGAGTCTCTACACTTGAGCCCCTCCAAAGCGAGCTTAATACAGCGAATGGGAACATGAGCCGTATGAGTTCAGATTTGGAGGAAGCTAAGCTAAACCTACGGGACTCTGAGGCCAGAGTTACCGAGCTTGAAGAGGAGCTCGTTGTTTCTGGAACGGAGCTCGACCACCTCCAAGCTGAGAATGGGCGCCTTAAGGGGTCTAGTGAGTCTGTGTTACAGCAGCTCCAGGGCTCCGAAGGCACTGTCAAAAGGCTTCAGCAGGAGTGCGAAAACCTCCATGGAGAGCTCACTAGCTTGAAAGATCAGTCGGTTGTGGTCCCTGAAGATGTTCCTGGAGAATTGTCCAAGCTATACTACAGGGCGGCAGACCAGCTTTGCAATATCCCGATTGTCCTTGATACAACCGGTGAGCTCGAAATGCAGCAACTCGCAGCAGAGCTTATCACGTTGATTGATGGGTACAAGTGGAAAGAAAATCTGCTGGAGTTTCTCCGCTCTCGTTCTGAGGGTTGGTTTTGTCTTCAGCAAGTTATGGCCGGTGACAATGACTTGGTCGCAAACGGCGGCAAATGTCAGTACCACGACGATTGCCTATCAGTGAAGGTGGTCTTCCTCAATGGATCACCTACTCTCAAATTCATCTTTTCTGATTAGGGAGAGATGAAATCTGACGATTTTGTCCTAGTTCAATGTGGACAACCGTCGCGTATGTCTTGGGTGGTGGAAGGGTAGGAAGGATCATTTGGTAACGAAGGGCAAGCTCGTGGAGGCACATTTGGGATCATAGGCGGAGGTACAGGACAAGTAATGTAGAAATACTACTTTACAGAATTCGGTGGGCCTTCAATCTTCTCCTTGCCGTCTTTGTCACTGTATTGATGATCGCACGACTTGAAGGTAGTGTTGCCGCATCACTCCATGTTGTGCGGCAATGCATTCGCAACGGTCCGCCAGAATCGGATCTAAAATTAACAATGGAGATTAATATTGACAGGCACATTTGATATATGAATATTCATTTTTATCGCCGTAATCATTCGCACCTCATAGCGGAACGACCTCACGTGATCGCACAGTACGGCCTGAGGTCAAGTTGAGGGTCTCGTTCCTTCTTCCTTCCAGTTGCACGTTCAAACCTCGACACGGAATCATCAAACAAGATGGACTCTACTCGAGAAGAACTCCAGGAATCCCCTGAGATTGATGTTCCTCCTCCCGCCAAGCGTAGCGCAGAAATGCCAATGCTCTGGGACGAGGGCCATCGCAGTTTGATTGACGCCTGTGTCAGGCACAAATCGCTGCTTGAGCTCTTCCTACAGCTCAGTAGGTTAGCCGACGTCCTTGATGGGAATCAAACCATGAAGGACAACGACTTTCCTGTTTTCTCGACTGTCAACGCTCTGCGCAACTATGACTGGACTATGTGTGAATTATTGCACAGCATGTCGGTTGAAGTGGTGCAGAGCATTGTCAAGAATACCTTTGCCTTTGACGTGACGAACGGCAACATCAAGCCATTTCGTCTGCCCTCAGTGCTCCACGATGAAAAGACTCCTGGGGTTTACGTCGTTGGTATAAGGATAAAGGATCGCGATGGCCAATTCTTGAACATCAACGAATTGGAGGTCCTAATCCGTGATATGAAGCTATACGTCGAAGGGTACGAAGCCTATGCTAGACATGGTGGGTGGACTTCCGCTAACATGACGGTGGCGGAGCGTAGAGCCATCAACATGGTCAATGCTGTTGACAGTCACAGTGGATCACAGAGAGTCCAGAGTGACGGTCCCATGTTCATTGAAAAGGATGAAGAAGTTCCCAGGATCAGGGCCCTTATCAGCACATTCGAGGGGATGTGTGATAGGAGTCTTGATCCAACGGGACGAGTTTACATATCGCAGAGCCCCCTGTACGTAGGGTGCTCTAAGGATCTGAATAAACGTATGGGCGTATACAATAACCGTAACGTCAAAAACATCAATAAGCCCCTTGCGCTCACCATTTGCATTCTTAGGAAGCACACCAGATCGCCAGAGCTGGTAACTGGGTGCGTTCTGAGAATTCTCAGAAGCAGGCAGCTACCCATGGCAGAGCAGCTAGTTTGCACAATCGCTGGATCCCTCGTCTATCAGCACGGCTTCAATGCTGTGGAGACCGGAGGTACAGGATACCAAAACTTGCCAACCGATGCAGGCCTGAAAGACAACATAAAGTACATCATATGTGGTACTCAGGTCATGATCAGTAATCTGAAAGAAAGCCTTGGAGAGATTGATCTGCGAAGACGATTCCTCCATCATCTAGACCAAGTTTCAGGTGAAATCATACGTCTGAAAGAGATCTTGAAACGTTGTGAAGATGAAATTCAAGATCTACCTTCTGGCGTAGACTTCGACCAGGTCTTGACCGACATCTCTGCTATTGTGCAAAGTGTGAGGCTCAACCTGAAGGATAAACGAGAGGCCTTGAAGTTCTGGCAATTAATGCTAGAAATTCAGGACATCATCGTTGACGAAACCGGTGTGGGAGTACACCTCATTGACCATGATATGGCCAATAAGGGTAATTGACATGAATCCACGCTCACGGGTGCTAAATAGTTCAATTTACCGTTCTTATGTTGAGCTATGTCTTGATTCTCGGGATGCCGCGGGTGGCTAAGGAGGAGGAGGAGTACCGGCAGCGATGAAGAAAAAGACCAAAGGTTGCAGCGATACTTCCATCAGCCTCTTGATTCCATCGATGATAGCTGCGCCCCAGGCTGCGAGTCTGTAGTTTCGGTGTAGAGAAAAGCGACCATGTATCGAGTAGTGTGCACATCGAATTCATTGACTGTAATGACCTTTGATGTTGTTTCGTGCGTGAAATGTTGATGAGAGCCGGCAAGTGAGCGTACAACTAACTCTTCTTTCTTTTCTGTCCCCGTCGAACTCTGGGCCACCGAGGTGCCGTGGGCGGCTTATGAGGCGGAGAAGCGGCGGCACTGAAAACAAAGGTCACGGTTCCGGCGGTGCCTTTTGGTGTCGGAGAAATGCTTGTGAATTAATATATAACGTTTGCTGTCGCTTTCGTATATCTGAGCGATGAGAGGGATCTTCCTCTTGAGAACCTGTCGTGAAAAATGGTCTAGAGCACAGAGTTGAAAGTTCTAATGCTTGCGTGTCACACTAGAATCATCAGTGGATGATCGTAGTATCAAGAGATAAGCTCACAATGCTTGTCTTTAGCTCGAATGTCTGTTCACCGAGATGGCTCATTGCGAGTTAGGCTTCGGCGCGATGAGTGAGGCCAACAGCATCACGCTCGCATATGTGCCTGGTTCGAAGAGGCGTCAGATGGTGGCAGTTGAGATTGACCAGCACGGCCTTAACGAGAAAAGTACGGACAGAAAGAGTTGAGGTCTGGTGAGGGCCAATTTGGGGAATCAGTGGTGGGATGTTCAACTCCTCCGGGCAGACTAGACCTAGGTGACAGAGGACAGGACAGTGTTAGGCTGCTAAACACATGCACTGTGCCACACTCTTTCCAGGACCCACCCGACCTCGATGAATTGCTCCGCCAATGAGAGCGCCAGGACCCCACTGGTAGCACGCTGACATGGATCCAGCTGTAAGTAAGCCGATCAACCCGCTAAAGAGCGCTAAAACTGCTTCTTATCTTAGGGGAGAGCGCCCAACACGATGCGGTCCTCGTACCGCTGGTCCAAAAGGCACGCCGATGTAGAAATGCCCTAGAACATATAGTCTTGACTTTCGTATAGTTTACGATACACTGAGACAATTCAAGCTTAATTTCAATTGTCTATGAATTATGCACAACAAATACATTTTCTAATCTTCAAATGGTGAGGTAAGAACTGGACTGGAATCAGGCTATGAATTTCTCGCCAGGAAAAGGGGGTCCGGGAAGCAGTATTCTCTGGTTGATATCACAGCCAGCGGCGGATCGGCTTCAGCTTGAGGGCTTAGTTACCGTCGCATCACGTGTAGCGTCTTGAAGCATTGCCATCACTATGAGATTCAAGTAATTCATTCATCGCGAGCTTTGTGTTCTTGAAAAGGTTCTGGTACTCAAGACGTCACGTCAAAATGAGGACCAGGGCTTCTTTAGCAGTCACAGAGGAGCGCATTTGGTCAATGGTTTGACGATAGATGGTGAGGAGACTTGAATAGAATTGGAAGATGCATCGACAGATATTTCCACCAGTTCCCCGTTATGGGGTATCTTAGCTGCGTTGCTCCGTATCTAAACCCGACATTCCTGTATGGGCTTCCGCTTGTAATGACAACTCTTCCCATTTCTTCTCCCTGACATCTTTGTCTTTCTCGTTGCGGGCAAAAACGATATCTGCCAGACCCCCATCTTCTTGACAGCCATGACTGAAGACTCCTTTGAAGAAGAACCCTGTGCTTCGGAATAAATCGTCTATCTCCGTAGTGCGTCTCATCGAGGTATTTCGGCTTATTGAGTAGTCGGAGCATTTGGATCGGGAACGGGGTTCTCGGGGACTGGAAGGTTGTTCTCAACACGCCAGGCTCGATACTTGAGGGAGCTGCCCTCGCTCATATCCTTGGAGTCAGGGTTTTCCTTCCAAGGCCAGCCAGGCGCCAGATCGATCTTTGCGGCGGGTTTGTCTGTGGATATAGTCAGCGTTGTCCAGATGGCACGGAAAATGAACTCACAGATGTCCATCCAGACAGTTTTGTCGACAAAGTACTCAAAGAATACCCTGCCCACATCATGGGCCTCAATGCCTTGTTCTGTCGCCTTCTCATGCAACTTGGCGCTGACGACTTTGACGGCTAAGCGGTATCTCTCTATCAAACGCTTCTCATAGTAATGCTCATCAGCCCTCAGATAGGCGCTCAGCCACTGGATCCGAGCCTTTTCATCAAAGGGGTTGACCTCTGATGGGTCTTGCAGACCGTATTTGCTCATTGCCGCTGATTGTGTATGTGTTGTGTTCGTTGTATTTGAAGAAACTTTGGTAGAGCGTGTTGCATGGGGAAGGAAAAGTGCGGGGTGTCTCGAGTAAGAGAAATTTGAGGTGCAGCACAGGCTGGACCAGTGTTACACAAGGTGGGCTGGGTCTGCGGTTCAGTGCTTGATCAGGCCGCGGCCATCGCGAGGGGCACAAAAGTGGTCACAAGTCAGTGAACAGTAATCCCCCACCTCTGTGAGTGCCAAGGACCTTTCTATCACATTCACGATGATCAAATGGAGGTAATACTTCTAAATATGGCGGTCGAACACATACCAGATAACATCGGACATGGCAATGATAGCGGACTACTATGAAGCACAACCGTCTCCTCGTGGTAGGGGATATTGACGAAGACAGGGGCTGAGGGCATTTTGAAGTACCAATTCAATTGAACTTTACTCTCCACACTAATACCGCCGTGTTTCGAGGCTACGATATACCGTCAAGTCAACCATTCAGGGAAAACACGCCAGTAGCCTGGAACTCGAATCTCAGCGTTCCCCGACTTGCTCATTTTATGAAGATTCAGGGCTTCACGGCCTGCTATTACTCTTCGCTCGGAAGTTCGAATACTGCAGTGAGATTGGTGCCAATGAGATGTTTGAGAAACTGACGCTGGGCGTTCATTTGCCTTGCAGTCATTTTTGGAGGTTCCTCGGCAGTAAAAGGGATTTACCATTCGTCCTTTCACGCCAAAAATGCTGCGGTAGACACATCATGGCAGCTTCATTCTTGTTTGCGTGTGAGCACTGTGTACCTGTCCCTCCGGGGGCTCCTGGCGGAGGGCCTTTCCTCGCTACGCTCGTGCCCTCAATTGAACCAACGCTGAATGTTTTTCTCTGCGTGAAAGGTTTCCAAGTGGCCCCCTGAACAATCTCTCACCAGAAATGTTCCCGGGCGAACGTCGCGGCCATCTGTCGGTCGAGGCTGATATGAGAGAGCTTCAGACCTCTCCAACAACATCACCCTCGCTATTCTGTCGGCAGTTACGTTGATAAGGTTTAGATGTTAAAAGAGGCCACGATTGTTGTCAGCTTTTCCGCTGTTGTGATCGTCTTTTTCGAAGCGGGATGGCGCGGATTGACCATTTGAGGGCACACTGGTATTGACACGGACTGGACCCGTGTTTCCCAGACTCAAAAAGACACGGTATTCTTCCTCGAAAGTACCGTCGTTTTGGAAATTACTCATAGGTTATGAGTTGGGGGTGGGGACATTGGACCATCAAATCGGGGCTCGTGTTGAAGGTGAGGAGGTGACACCAGGGCGGTCAAAGTCGTAGTCAACGCCCCGAAAGACGGCTGGCACAGACAGGCCCAAACCTCTTCCATTTACATGGATCTGAGTGAGAGTCGAGAGGCTGAGAAGGCAGCAAACATCCATACCCAAGTCGGCTGTGTGGGTTCCGGGTACTGTGGTTCGAGGGGAATGGCCAACTGAAAACAGCCGAACCCGGCCGTCGTTGATGTTCCTCGTGACGATCAAGTTATTGGACAGTGGCGGGAGAATGGAGAATCCTCATGGAATAGACATCGATAATGTTCATTTTGACGAGTTTTACGGCCTCACGATCGGAAGGGTGGAGTGCTTGGACCATTGTTCGAGCTTCGTGGTCCATCTTGCGTTCTTGTTAAGCTTGCTTGCGGTAGTCTTTCTGCGCTCAGTTTGAAATCGGGGTACATCGTGACTGTGCTGCGAAAGAATATGCAACTGTCAGTATACGTACACTTCAGAGGCTGATTCACTTGTCCATGTACTCAAAGTAATCCACGTATCAGTCAGCGAGTGTCCAGTTCACAGGTAAGCGGAAAGTCACCGCTCATGGTGGGCTATCGTTTCTCAGCTTGTAGGTTTCGGGGCCGGGTCGTTCGCCGAAGGCGGCCTCTACTCTTGTGAAGATTGAGGCTCATCGCAGAGCATGTAGTATCGGGCAGCCAGCGTTGAATCGCAAGGCTCTGTGTTCGTGGTCCCTTGTGATTAGAAGACCTCCACGTGCTGAACGCACGTTTGAGAGGAAAGGGGAATGGTCGACGACGATGTCCATACCAATAAAGCCTCAGTCGAGCAAGAAGCTGAAGTACCATGGACTTTACATTTCTCTTTCCGGAAGTCTGATGTGTTGCCGTAGATCCGTCACATTTCGCGACTGGAGGTAGACATATCGCGCACCGTCGGCGTTCGACTTGGTCAAGTTGAAAGGTTGTCAATGGGGCGGAATCACGACCACCTGTGGTGGAAATGAAGCTCACCCATGAGATCAATCGTCTCTGGACGTGGGGAGAACTGTAAACAATTCGAAGTCAGCTAATAAGACCCGTGGTGATTGCAGATGGTTTGAATATCCCTTCAAAGTCCGCAATGGATATGGAGCGGCGATGGGGAGCCAGACATCGAAAGGGGGTCCCGCGGCCATTCATGAGGTCAATTGCGGCATGTAATGGGGTTGATCTTCCGGGGAAAAGAGAGGATACCGTCGCTGTTTCTGCATCTTCACGTCAGGGAATAGCTACGTCCATGGATTGACACTCTTCCGACACGATTCGGTATGACAGTCATTGAGTGATATCGAGTGAACCTCAACCTGGCATGCCTCACGGGTTACTTTCAAGGACACCTTGTCGCGTGACGATCCCATCTCCTGATGCTCTCGTTGTTCAAGGCTCGGGAGACGTTCGGCCGCGACCTGTATAGCTTGTATTCCTCAGAAGAATATTCGCGATGTAGAGATCGATGGGCTGGAACGCCGGTGAAATTGTAGGGGAGTGCTCCGTTGATGAGGGCGACTGAAGGTGGTAAGAACAGTAGTATCTACAAACACGATGTTAGCTTCAGTACTGTGAAATGCTTGCGGATAATGCCACTCTCACTGACAATTATTCGACTGGGGACTGTCGCGTGTCGTCCGAGGGGCATGGTTCGTCTTGACGCAACAGTCTAGACTAAAACTTGTCATCAGGGCTAGAGGTGATTTAAGCTGAGAGACCGATTCAGTAAGCGCTAGCCGCGTGGACTTTTAGAACTACTGGTCAAGTCTTGGTCGAATGGCCTCCCTTGAAGATGGCCCTGTTAGCTTTGTCTGGTTCGGGGGTGAACTGGGAATGGATTCGGGTGGCCGGCGCCGTTTTAAATGATTGGCAAGTCCTTGAAGGGCAGCTTTTGCCGTACTTTCTGATTAGGATAAGAGTACTTTTCGAATCTCCCAGCCTGGTCAGCGTTGCGATACGGATACAGGCCAATTCGTATGGTCTCTTCAGGATTCTGGAAAAATTCGCTGGGAAGTTCAGGCGCCACGGTCTCAGTGTTGTTCTCCAGGGCAAATTGTTTTTGAGGCGGCAACATTTGTAGATGCCGCCATAATCCGTCGGTTGATTCTTGGTCTCTGGTCGGAGCCACCACAAGCGCTCTGGTGTGTTCGTCGTTGGGGTCGCATGTCTCTGGTGAACACCGGACCCAGGCCCTCACGAGGGTTAGAGTCAGTCGATCGAGCTGGGTCATTGAAGTCTTCCCCTTTCGCCAGATGCAATCACTGCGGCTATCTCTGCGCAATCCTTGGGCTCTCCCGGGATAACTCTGTGCAATGGGAGGCTGTATCTTATGAGCGTACCCAGAAGTAAGATCTGAGCGCTGTTCACCGAATGCAACACCAACCGTACCGCAGTGTACAGATCGCCAGCCATCCGAATCAGCCATAACGGGGTCATCCAACAGGGTATGTGACACCTGGTTGACTTCCGATGCGCTCGAGGTTGCGGTAAGGCCCGGCGCCTTGGGTAGATTCCGATCGATTTCGAGGTATGGGATAGCTCTTGGATATTTGGACGACAAGAGCATGCTTCTTGGTGACAATGGAAGCGCGATCTGCCTGGGACTTGCGTTGGGGTGTGACCAGGAACTATGGAGCCAAGACTTCAGTATGTGCTCGACTGGAGGCTTATTGATTTGAGACCAGCCGACCAGTTCCCACGTACACATTTCTCATGCAAAACCGAAGATTGAAGCCACTCTGAGCTCCTCAACAGTTGTAAACTTGCCGTCATGGACTTTGACTTCTCATCCTTGGACTAGCTCGTCCACGCATGATAACCTTCGAGGACGTGCTGACTGTTCAGTCTTCCCGAGGTGGAGAAAGACTCAATGCTTCATGCTGATCAGACGAACCCCCGAGACTTTCGGTGATGGAGAGAGCCGACGAAATATGGCGAGCGAATGAATGGAAGAAGGCAATGGTGCCTTCATGGCTTCGGATGACCTGAGCGCCCAGGTGCATTACCTTCGGACCCTTGCCTACCAGGGGCGTGATTCGCGAGATGGCAATCAGTAGGCCACTCAAGATTATTGGCCGAGTAGCTGCTGATACCGTTCTGAAGAGCGGATGTCGAGTTGTTCATGGCATAAGACTTGTGGCCTGAAAGGCGAACAGGGAGGAGGTAACAACAAAAGGCTCATACGTCGTGAAGCGACGGAGCGCTGAAGAAGTCATGCATGTGACGCAAGGAGCAGACTCATGAGATGGAGAGTGTCACCGCTTGTTGTCACAAAAGAGCGGACCATGTTGTTTGAGCCAAGGTGTCATGGGATGGGTTCCTGGTCGGCAACTGGGAAGACTGTAGGTTTGAGAGCGATTGTACACCTGTTGCTCGCAAAGAATCGAGGGCGCGGCGGATGGGGCGAGCTTAATCTGGCAAACGTTGTCCCCGTACCTGTCAATCTGCAATTGAGACTTGAGAACGACGTGCAAGGGATGCGCGGGCGTCTCATTAACGATAAGCTGATTGGTTCTAGATTTCGTTCTGAGTCGGGCTAGGATGATGCGAGATCAGATAAACCTGAATATGGAAAGAAGAGGTCAGCGAAGGGAGCACGGGGGCATTGTTGGCATAAGGATGAGGATCATACTGCGCCGAAGCTCAAGTCCTCCATCACTATGAGTGTGACGTGATTGGTTGGGGTCGGCCGGGACTGAAACCGTGAGTTCGAGGCAGCGCAAGGCGTGGTGAAAGTCAATGCGAAACTCGAGTAATGGCCAACTCTTGGGGACTCGGAAACAAGGCGAAGTTCGATGGGGCCGTCAATGGTTGTTGATGGAATCGGCCTTTGAAGTGTAGAGCCTTACATACGCCATGTCATCCCAGGTCCAGTGATGTTGAGTTCAAATGGAGGAGTGCGAGCTTTCATGATCGCTTGACTCGGATCCGAGACAGACCTCAGCTTGTGGAGCGCTTGTGTTGATGTGAACTGGTGTGTCGACCCAAGCTGTTTGTTCTTCGCAGACTCCGATAATGTCGTAGAGTGCTGCTTCCAATGTTGATCTCCTCACATTAAAGGCCAAACTCCTCAAGTACCTCATCTTTGCCAGCAATGGATGCGGGGCTGCGAGTGATCTTCGTCGATTTTGGCGTTGTTGGGCAGCTAACGTGCATCGAAATGGGTGTGTGGATGTCCATTGACTGTGTGAGTCGGATGAGCGGTTGAAGAGTGTGATGTTCGAAAGGTCTTGGAAGGAAAGCTACACTCCGGACGTCGACAATTCCCTCAGCCGATTCCCGCCGTCAGTTGCAGCGCATTGGGCGAGGTGGACTGACAACACTTCCCGGGACAAGCTACCGCCTCATTCACTTCTTGTCTGTCTCCACCTTTGGACTCAAAAGAAGTCTGAAGGGGCCCGGCGAGGTGTGATATTGTCTGTGTACATGAGGTTAGCTTCGATAGTTGCTGAGGATCGGAACAGCAAGCTCACCGTTGGTATTGGGATGGCCTGGCGAAGTTCGTGGAATCACGGCGTTGAATTCCGAGTTCATCCGAGCCAGTTTTCAGTCTCTGCAGTAGTCATCTCGAACTTCTTGGTTCTCCCAACGGGGACCTGGTGCAGCGATCGTGGGCTCCGGTCCAATTTCATGCTTTTCGCACAAATTCAAGGCCCCTCGAGTTCATCATTGGTGAGTACCGTCTTGAGTCGCTTGGTGAGATGTCGATCAGAGTTCAGTGTCGCCTTTGCTATTCGGTAATGGAGTGTCGCACGACTGGGCGGTTGACTTAGCCGTGAATGCCGTTCGGGCCCGGGCGTGCCATTTTCACGACCCAGGCTGAGACGCGTTTGACGGCGCTAATCTGGGACCCGATCGTAGAGAGTCGTAAACTGAACACGACGCGTCTTAAAGGCATGGCCGTGAATGAACTCCTTCGAAAGCGGAATGTGTTGTAATGTTTTGGTAGAGTTGGGCGGGTCAGAGTGACTGAGGGGTGCACGTCCCCGCTGCATTCTGGTTGCTTCATGGTGTACGATGCACAGGCCCACCAAGTTGCCTGAACGTTCACTGGCCCTTACTTCAGTTCTCTTCATCCTTTTGACTCTTATCCTATTCTTTCGTATATCCTTGCGCTCCTCAAAACCTTCCCGGTTTCCAGCTCTTAAGCTACCTGCCGTCATGAATACTCCAGAGGCTGTGGAACGTTGTGTCCACTTGATCTCTACCTTGCGTAGATACGGATGTTTCGACGATCAACGCTTTGAGTCCGCTTATAAGACACGCGCTGAAACTGTCAGTGCCGACCTTAAGAACTGGGGCGCGATCAGTGTAGACCACACGGTCTTCCGATATACACTGGAATCTGCCGTATGGAAAGACTCCTGTAGGTGCAATACATCCTAACTGATAACCCTATGCCTGACTTTCTCTTAGTCTGTCATCTTGATTCGCCGCCGGAGTTTCCTTGGAGTATCACCGACTTCCAACCGAGAACGTTTTTGTACTACCGATGGAGCCTCGTCTTTCTCCTGATCAAAGCACTCTCTGGCCGACGACCCCCTCTCCCACTCAACAACGAATGTGATACGGATATGTCAATCTGATCAAGCAACGCTTACTCGAAACATGTTCTCCTATGCGACCAGGATAGCGATACCTCCAATGCGGCGTGGATTTTCAGATGTGGAAGAGTCATTGTACTTGAGTTTGCCGGAGCAGATCGGTGATCGGGACACAGAAGGATAAGAAACCACATCCTAAGGGGTACATTCATGAACAAAGAGCCTGCATCAGATGCAGTAACAAAGATTTCATTTCAGATTGCACAAATTGAACATTTATGCGTGTCTATAATGAACCAGAACTGGGACCTATCTTACCTCACCACGTTTTCAGTTGACTACATGATTATCCTTCGTGAAAGTTATCTCTGTCTCTTGCATACATCTCTCCAGAAATCGAGCCATTCGGGCGAGTTGAATCCGAAAAACGTCGACATTGGTCAAGCCTGGAGGGAATGTGCGGGCAATCGGGTGGGATACAGCGGTGACCTCTGCGAGAGGGGCTCTATCGTAGCACTTGTGGTTGCGGCGTCGGCAGGGGCATTCGGAGTAGACGGTGTTGGGATAAGTTGACGTCTCGGAACAGAAGTCTCGGCAGAGTCAGGAGATCAAATACGTCCGGTGACCAGTCTCGCTCTCAACAGGTGCCGCTTGTCACTCTTACTCATAGTGCGAGGCGCGTGATGCCTTGCCCGTCCCCCATCTGAAATGAAGTAATAATCCTGCGATCAGGTCCATTCTCTGTGCCAATTCGGGTCTCCGGAAACATGAGCTTGGTTTCCGTCTTCTGGTCGCTGCAAGCTCCACGTTATCGAACAGATCTCAGGGTTGGCTGAATCGCTGACGGGTCGGGCACGGCCGTCGTGTGGCATTTCGTTACTTCACTTTGAGACTCGATCTCGCGCAGGGTACTCATGTTGTCGCTTCATAACGTCTCGTGGCAAGCGCATTGCGTCCTTTCAGTCATCGGTGAGTGGGCTTGCAATTGTCGCGCGACAGACAGGAATGTCAGTATAATGGTATCTATGGAAGTAAGTTCTGTCGGCCATGACCACCCGCTCGGGGACAAGCCAAACTTGCCTTCACTGAGTGGCGCCGCCTGAGGTGTACTTTGACTTCAGCAACAGGGGCTCAAGTGACGGCGTAGCGGATGCGAAACAAACAGTCCTCGCCGGCGTACAAAGATTAAATGAATATTGAGGGGTCCAGGTGTAGGAAAGCATCAGAATGAAGGCCCTAATAAAAGGCTTGATCGACCTAGACGGGTCGTGGTCACGAAGAAGAAACAGGTGAGGTTGGCCCTCAGCGGGTGAACAGACTGCCCCGCTCCGGTTTGTGCAACGTGGTGTAGTGGAGGGCTCTAGAGTTCATTAGGGAAATTTAATGAGATTTATCTGACATTTTGCCGAGTCCGAAAGTGCTGTCATAAATTATCTGTGTATGGCACGGTCAAGCTGTAGATTTGCGTTCCCAACTGACTCGCCTGAATTTACTGTAAGCTACATCACGCAGCTCCTCCTCAATGGAATCTGATCACTTGCAGATATTAAGGTTCCTTTCCACTTTTTACAACATCTACAACCACTATAATTGAGTCTCGATGTGAGGTTGTTTTGGTTTGATGATGGAGTCTCCAGGGTAGCGCGATATCATCAACCCCTGCAAGATCAATTGTGGGCGTGATGACTAGCGCTTAGATATTGCCTCTTTGAGATGAGACATACTTGGTCATTGGTTATGATCCATTAATGGACCCATGAAACCATATCGTTGGTGCTCAAGGACATCGCACGCCTCATGACTCAGTGAACTAAACCAAATTCGATTGAACCACAGTAACTGCCCGTGTAATACCAGGTTTCTAATGCTTGTCATTGCAAAAAGACCAGTCGTGAAATCATGCGGAATTCAGACAGAATAATCACCGGGGAAGGTCGTGGGAGGTCACTCGACCTGTTTCACTCACCAGAGATCGACGATTTTAAGCAGGGACTGCACGACCGAGGATAGAAAGCGACAACCAATGTATCACAATGTAGAATGATAACCTTTTCGATATCGGTGGGGAGACCTCTGTAATTGTCTGTCCTTAGCGTGATGTTTGTGATGTGATAAGGTTGTACCCTAATCTGCGAGACAGCCCTTAATGCGTATCTCATGAGACGTGGACGCTACGCTGGAATATTTGACAGTAATGAGCTGTAACGGATTATTTAATGGCTAAAGAGAATTTGTATATCACAAGAGTCATAAATATATGTCTGCGGAGGGCACGATTTTGAGACTCTACTGAGTTAAGCAGAGGCAGACATTTAGCACATCGTGCATATTTTCATGTCATGTATACGCAACTTCTCTCTTTGAATGGCACCACCTGATGCAAGAGGCTATCGCAATTCCCTTAGGGTAACGTAATTTAAACGACAGCTCACAGATTAGCAAGGATGTCATGATGTCACTCAGAGTGAGTCTTGTTGCGGCCAAATTCTTGGCGTAAGCCATGGTTTTAGTGCAGGGAGGCCTAGCTTGTAGTGAGTGCAGCGGTGGCCTACCGTCCAACGGTGACAGTGAGGACGTGGATTCTACGCTAGCCACAAATGGAAATCATTTGATTTCGCATCATCAAAAGCCTCCACGACGCCACCCGAGAATCACCGTCTCAAAGAAAGCGACAATCCCTTATCTGTTAAAACGTTCTATACCATTCGCCATGTCTGATATCCCCGCGCCCGAAAAGCAGGCACACCAGCAGAGGTATTTCAGCACCCAAGACACAGACATCGATTGTACTGACGCCTGCTGCAGAGCTTCCGGGTCTGGTCGAGGCAATATTGGACCGCATAGGAGCCAAGACACAACAAATAACACCGCAAGGCTGTCTGAGAGATACGGCGTTGAGAAAAGCCAGAGAGATTATCACATCGGTGATAGGAATCGAGAACGGTGTCCCAAGCCCAACCGCGCGGCCGAAGCAAGGTCCAAGAAGATCGCGTACGAGATCCTCATGTCTGAAAACAACGCTCGTCCAAGAAGGCCTGTTTTGTCTCGCCCTCTGGCTGAGAGAACCACCAAGGCAGGCATTTTCAAGCCGTGTGCAAACTGCAAGGGTCAAGGCCACCAACTGGCTGACTGCATCACGACTGTGCATGGATACATCAAGGCCTGCATATTCTGCGACAACGACAGCCATCGTACCGACGAGTGCGAGTCTTTCAAGAGACTTTCCCTTGCGGAAAAGGTCAAATTGCTTGTAACCGATCGGGCTGGTAAGCCTGCGCTTGCTCTATGGTGGACTCCCCTGTACGAGTTCCTTGAAGCGAAGGAGACTCAGGACATTCCTCTACCAACCGGATTCCCTTGGACTGCCAAGTTTGCTATCGAGGTATTCCAGGGCAAACGCGGGAAACCAGTCAAAACATTCCAGACAGAGTTTGACGCCACTCAAGACCCAAAGGCGTTGCCCGTTGATATGACAGTCCGGTCGCTCCCTGATGTCTGGAGCTACTACTGGTTTCATGAAGGTCGCCGCTTCCCTCTTCGTGCTCATATCCCACGACCATGAAGGTGATGTGCCGGCGAATAGCACTTCCTGTGCTTGAGGATGTATGGTATAGATGCCCTGTGTGGATAAAAGTCCTTTTTCATTCAGAACCAGGTTGTCTCAAGTGAGCTTTGTCCATAGAATACAAGACAGTCAGCAAATACATTGCTATTTGCCATCTAAATCATGCTAATCACGAGAAGAACGTCTACAGCCGATGATTCGAATCATGGTGAACAGTGTGCGATGAGGAAATAAACGAGTTGGGCTTGAGTAGGAACATGTAGATGAAAGAAATGAGAACACGAAGACATCAAAAAGATACATAGAACTGCATAAGAATATAAAGAGGTCGCCAGAAGTATGAGTGTGTACATTATTATGAGCAAGGCATAGTAATGCTTATGGACTTCTAGGCTTATTGTACAATTGAAAGGCTATTACATTCGACTGTAGCCGCTGTGTCGTATCTCGCCCAAAAGCCACCGAGTCGCGTGAAACATCATTGCATCCAAACATACGCCAGTCAGCAACTGTAACTCAAAGGCACTCAAAAAAGAGGTCTATTGGCTCTTCCGGGTCCAGTGTCCCCCTCTCTTTCCTCGCACTTAAGTAAGCACCGATGACAATTTCGATGTTGCGTGGTGCCATGCCCTCAAGCCTCGGATGGTCTGCCTGGGTGTAGGTCACTCGATACCCCTGGCTACACACAAGACGTGCCCCGCGTGGCATCCATCGTATATACTTGGCCACAGTTGCTACATCACAGGGTGCGGATTCCTTGATGAGCCTCCTGGCCTCCTCGCGAAGGATTGCAGGTTCTTCGAAAGACGGGACAGACAGATTCGGGATTTGGCTGGCAGTCTGCCGTAGAGTTTCGTATTCACGTCTGAGAGACGCATTTTCCTCTTGTAGGCGGTGTACCTCATCTTCCTGGAGGCGTAAAAGATTTTGTTCGATTTTTGCTCGGTCGTGATTGTACCGCTGCAGCATCGTCGGCGACGCTCGGGTGATAGAGGAGAGGGATGCGGAGTCGATGGAAAGCAGGATCTTGAGCTGGACCTCTGGAGACAGAGCGTTGAAGGGATCCATGGTGCTGTGCAGAGGTTAGGAACTGTAACTAAAGCCTTGAACTTCAGTACTGTACCAGATGAAAGATGATCGAAGACGTGGCGGTAAAGGTTGTATTTGTGTGAAGATTGTGTAGGATTGGGGTTGTTGCGATGGAGTTTACAAACAGTTGGCTTTTGTGGTGGGGCAGCAACATCGTTGCCAGTCACACGCTCAGCGAGTGCATCCCCGTCGTTGGAAGTCTTTGCTTCAGGTTTCGTGCAGAATGCCAGGAGCGCTGTTCATACTTTGTTGGGGACAAGATTGATTTGGCTCTTTTTGGACCAGCTCCTGGGATTTATGAGATCTTAGGGGACCCTAACTGCTTGCAGTGAACTCAGTGACTGTTAGTGGACCTTAGTGGTTTGGTCCTTGAGGTGGGTAGGTACGTACTTAACTTCTCCTCCGCAGCATCATCAAAACTGGTCCTTTTCTTCTTTGATACCTTGTCCAGCCACCAGGGTATCAGGGACTTCGTTTTCTTGGCCTTCGGGGGCGTTTGGTGGGGTGTTTTCCACGTCATCGTCTTCAACCTTGACAAGCGGATCGCGGCGAAGCCAGTCTTTGTAGACCAGAGAATTCTGGGTCGTCGGATCATGTTTTCTGGGTACGGTCTCTGACCAAGGCCACTCATTAGCCATGGTCAAAATCTTCTTGCGTTTGACTGAATGCTGTTAGTTCAAGTTGCGCACAGTGAGCAGGATACAGCTTACGATAATTGTCCCAGACAAGGGCGTCCACCTCGTACTCAAAGTACTCATGGGAAATGGAGACATAACCCTGTTCATGTAAAAACTTGCAAAGTAACTCGACGCACTTCTCGCGAGTCCTTGCGACCTTGGCGCTGTCCCAGACCCCAAGGTGCATGAAAAATGCATGCATGTGCGCCCGACGAGCCGAAAGGTTCAGGACGTCAACTGCTGAATGGTCAAACCCAGTGGAAGCCATTTTTTGTATTTAAGAAAGGGAGTAAAAAGAGAGTGTGTGTGTGTGCTATGCTGTACGTGTTCGTTGTGCCGTGACGGGCTTTGTTCTATGATGAAGGAAGAAGAATTGGTGTTTGGAAGTTCACAATTCAAGGTGGGGTTGCTGAGCCTTTGCCTCCCTCTCTGTTTGCACAGGGCTGTTTGCAGCGTTTCAGCGTTTCGGCGTCTCACAACTGTCGACTGCCACTTTCACATATGATAAATTGATTAATTCCTGGGTTTCACATCTTCACAATAGCCACCACTTGAGCACAACGAAGTTCTCCATATCTTCCGCGTGAGCTGAGTCAGATGAGATCTATTAAACAGAAATCCGTGAAGGGCGGCGGTCCTGGCACGATCGTTGTGGTTCCTAATTTGTAGGGGGGTTCAGGAACCAGGGTCGGTAGGGACGGCAGACTCAGAGCAATGAGATGGTCATGTCTGCCGGTATCTTTCCAGTTTTAAGGATGTGAAACGAAGGTGTTGGTCGCGTGGGAACTTGTACGATCATGAAACAGTTTTCGCTTCTTTGTCGTGATGAAGTCCCCATCAGCGTCCACAAGTTGACAGCTCGGTCACAAGAAGATGAATAAACCGTTGATCAGTCCAATGAATATCCACGACATTTCGACCTCAAAATATCATGTTCCGATTTTTGGCAGCATTTAAAACCATCATAATTGAGTTTCAATGTGATGATGGAATTGTGGTGGGAGTCTCCAGGGTAGACGGCCATGACCAACCCTTGGAAGGTTGTAGATTTTTGATAATTAGCGTTTAGAGATTGCCTGATCAAGACGACACATGCTTGATCATTGGTTGTAGCACATGAATGGACCCATGAGGAGCTGGACTATGTCTCCGCGCTTGGAGACGATATCACAACATGACACAGTATAATCAACGAAAGAAGCCCTGGGGACGACCAATCTCTCATTTACCAAGACCAGGGGTTGCAGTCGAGGCTGAATCCAATAACGGATTTAAGATAATATAAAATTAAACACTTCTGATGCCAGTGGGATTATATTTTTCTATCTGACAATTTTAAATGTTTGTGGTGTGGTACGATTGCACCCTGATGGAACGCTCAATGCGCACCTCATAAAACGTAGAGGCACAATCATAAATTTGACAGTTAATAAGCGATAACTTATCGTTCATCAACTTGGGGGCATTTATCAGTAATAAGAGTTATAAAATAACGTTTGTAGGGGACACGAATTTGAGAAAATCTATTGACCGAGAAGAGGCAAACATTCGGTACGCCCACTGTGCGACGAGATGTTGGCCTAAACCATCGTTACACAAACTGGGCCAACGTACATTACCATTTTACTTTCGCATCCAGAATCAACATCTCGAGAAAGCAATACTTCCTTGTCCGGCTGAACATTATTTTACGACCGTCATCCATTATGTCTGATAATTGCGCACCCAATGAACACACAGCGCTAGACAAGTGTTTCGCACACCAAATTCGCAGACATTAAACATACTGACGCATCTAGCGAGCATCCGGTTCTGGCCGAGGCAACATTGGCCCTGATAGGAACCGACACACGAACGATGGCGCTTCGACTCTTACCGAAAGACATGGGGTTCAGAAAGGCCAGCCCAGCACGTCCCAGGTCACTTTCGCATCTCAGGCAGCCCGGCCAGACCGCACCGCTGAGGCCAGACGTCTCCAGCTGGAGATTGAATCGGAGTCATCTCTCGGCAAACCCCGCCGAAGCCGGGCACGTAAGGCTCAAGGTAGCCTCGAGAGCTGCGTGGTCGAGATACCTAAGGTGGCCGAGATTCTCTGTGCTGAGTGTGGCAGCGCCTGTCATACCTTGAAGGACTGCATCACTACCATTGGCATTCGTGGATGTGTGTTCTGCAACAGTGAGAGCCATGCTACCGACAACTGCAGAGAGTTCTCTCGCCTTAGCATGGGACAAAAGGTCCAGTTGCTCGTGACAGACCGCGCTGGCATGCCCCCAATCCTCACCGACTTGGGCTGGTGGGTTTGGCTTCATAAGATTCTGACAGCCCCTCATACCAAGGACCAGCCAATTCCCACTGCATTCCCCTGGACAGTGGAGCTTTCTTGTGAGGTCTATCGTGGCGAGACACAAAAGTCCATCACGGAGTACCAGCACGAGGTCGATCACTCCCACAAGGTCAGCGCTCTGCCTACGGATGCGCGCCTGCAGACAATGAAGGACGTCTTCAGCCACTTCTGGGATGGGGAGGGCAGGGTGTGGCCGGCTCGTCTAGACAGCTCGCCAGCCTCGACCGAGGCCGACAACTCTTGTCAAGGGGCTATTGGGTGGCACCTACCATGGAGGAGATCCAGAGGCTGGGGGAGATTATCATTGGACAGGCGGGAGAGGTTCATGACTGGAAGAAGAAGTATGAACTATTAGAGAGGGAGAACGAAGAGTTGAAGAAAAGGTTGGCCTAATAGATTGAAGCACTGTCCAACTAGAGTCTATTTGTCACACATAATGATTGTCACTCATGCTATTGTTGCATTGCAGGAATCACTCTTGGCCACTTCAGGCTACAGGATAGCAAACAAGATCGATCATTGACTCTGTCATGTATCCCACGGCTGTCCCCTCCATGAGCTTGGCCCAATGCTCCAATTATTCAGGAACGAATAGTAACGTGTTGCTGGAAGACCGATGTGTTAGCATGTGGTCAACCTGGAAAGAAAGCTTGTCGCTTCTCTGATGGAAAGGGTTGTGGACTTACTACATGGCCGCAGTATGTACAATCACTGGCCGCCTGACCCGGCGCTTTGAACCCATCCTCGGACGTTGGCAGGACACCACAAGTTGGTGTATACACCATTGATTGTGCGAGTGCTCTCATCCACCGGCAGAAGTGATCGATCGAAATCCTTGTCGAACACAGCTTGAAGTCTCTTGACGAACTGTCCACCTTCTCTCGAGGTGATCTCCTTGGCGAAGTTCTCCGACCACGGGAACCCAGAAAGAACCTTGTTATCAGAGACTGGGTCATTCATCCATCGGTGAAGATAATCCCACCAAGGAAAGCCCTTAACCAGAGGGGGAAGACCAGCGCGATCCGCTACAAGCAACTGAACTTGTCGGCTGAGGTTCATCCTAAGGAAAGTCGGGCAGTCGCCTATACCGTGCTGGCTGCTGCGGCAAATGGGGCAATGACTGGAGTGGTCATCAAGGAGCTTGAGGCACATGATTGTTGGGTGGGTGTTGCTATTGCAGACCGAGCAGCGTGTGATTTCCATCACCGTGAGAGGTTGGCTTACCCCATCGGGAAACCGGGTAGTCACTTTGCATTCGGTGATTCCCTGTTGGAGATACTCTTGCCAGTGCCTGTCGACGTCTCGAAAGTTCTGCAAGACGGAATGCTCACAGGGATGGGCACCGCAGCCGAAGCAAATCCCACTGACAATGCTTTGCATGCCGTATTTGCTAGCGATGTACTCGAAGCAGGTCTCATCGTTCGTCAAAATTCTTCCCCGGATTCGATGGGCCCAGACGTGAAAGATGCTGGTGTTGGGTGACGCCATGGTACGAGCGTGAGGTAAGTGTCGAGAGGCGTTGCTTTAATGATTTTGCGTTCTGTATGTAGTAGTTGGGGTGTCGAACGTGATGGTACAGTTGCGACTCGAGGAGATGTAAAGGAGAAGAGAAGCGCCGACCAACGTGAGTGAGCGATTGGTAGCTCACGATATGAGAGGTGGAGAAAGCACAGAATCGCAGGCGGCTAGTGGAGCATCGTGGTTGTTGGGCCTTGTCAGTGCCAGTGTCTGCTCTTGGATCGATACGACCCACCAACTCAGTCAAGTCCGATCTTCTCTACCAATACCGTACAATCTCACAGCAAGTCCCCTACGCCGTTTCCAACGATGCCAAGCGTCATTGCCTCTCACGAATACCCGGAAGCATTCCAAGTAGACACAAACGACGCTTATGCCCGCCTCCAATATTTCTTCGATGTGGCCACCTACTTTGGATCGCTCGACCACCAAACCTTCCAGGTGGTCAAGGACAGTTGCATAGAGCGAGTATGTAACGATTTTGAAAGAATGGGTGAGTACTATGTGGGCGACGCGCGGTTCCACTACACATTGGAGTCCGCTATCTAGACAAGGTTCTGTAAGTCCAAGTTGTACCTCGATCGATGATGCTGTCACTGACTTGGTCAGTCTGCCACCTTGGAGAAGAAGCGCCCGAGTTTCCATGGACCCTGGACCAGTTCCCACGCCGCGAGCGCAATCTTCCGGACATCTATCGAGAATGGCTTATTGCCAATGACCTGGTGGCTATGTATTGGGGGCCTCACTCTATTTCTCGCTCAGAGGACGGCAATTGAGATGGTAGTGTGGGAGTTACTTGAGACTTTTCGTTCGTTGCAGCGTGATGAGCAAAGTTCGCCGTATATAAGTCGATATATAGTTTGAATGTGTACGACTCTTTTTCACGCTTTTATGAACTGCAATGTGACACGAGCTATGGTCTTAGATATTTTCTAGCGTTCTTCAGGGGCTGAACCTGGACTGGAACTTGATATTTCATGATGCGAATGGTCTCGAAGAAAGATTGACCTTGGGAACTACCGCACCATGCTTGAACCGATGTTTTCTCAAATGAGACTACTTACAGTAATACTATTCATCAAGTTGTTTATGTTCTTACGAAGAAAGCCGCGTTTGGTGAGTAGGTTATTGCATGCCCTTACTATTGTCTTGGATTTCCAAGGGCGTTGTCCACAATTTGCCGTAGACGGGATTGACCCTTTTGGGCCAACACGGTTTTGATACGGCCGGTGGTCAAAGCCGTCTTCCGCACCAGATTTCCGGGAGACGGGCCGGTGTTCAGTGGACTTATAGGTACTGGGTGATTTGGACTTTTTGACCCTCAGGTACGTACCATGTTCTGCACCCCTTTTTTGTGGCCAGCCAAGTCGAGATGATGTGTTATTCTGAGGGTCCCAGTTGGTTTCTGTGGGCTTCGGTGATTGTTAGTGGATTTAGCGCCTGTTGGGGTATTTAATCTATCGGGCCCGAGTTTGGTACGTACCTCGCTTCCGTTCTCGATGCCACGTCGAGGTGTGCTGGTGTTGAGGCGTTTTGACGAACCGACTTCCAGCGAGCTTCAGGGACTATAGTGGATTTTAGTGATCAATAGTGGATTCGGACCTGTTGGGCAAGGTTTTGGGCCTCGGGCAAGGTACGTACCTTTTCTGTGCTTCCCGCGCATACCTTAATGCTGAGTCCAGGTACGTACCGAATTGTGGCCGTTCTGAAGACCTTGCTTTCAGGGGACTGCAGTGGACTTCAGTGGTTTTACCGCCTGTAAATTTGGAGCTCAATGTACGTACCCTTTTTCACCCTCCCATCATGGGATCAGTACAAGCCAAGCCAGCGACTTTTGGTACCAATTGTGCTTGTTTACGAATGCCTTATCACCTCTGTCTTACTGATGTTTGTCTACATCGGTGTTGAGGAGCTTAGAGGAGCAGTGCATCGTCTAAATCTCCGGAGACCATGACCTTGAAGGCAAAAATGACAGTGCTCCCTCTTTACTAGATCGACTATCCCAATTCCCATGGCATTGGCAACTTCACAAAAGTCAAAAACTGACTGAAAGAGTCAAATAAAGCTGATTAATCTTGTCCGGATGGAACTTGGAAGCCTGTCTCTTGGCTAGCAAAACCTGGATTGGCATACTTTACCGATCGAGTGACGTTACATGGCGAACTGATATGGAAGGAATCTCTGCTCAACCTGGTCACTCTCAGCAAAGTATCGAGTTGATTAGCGTGCTGACGTTTTGAAAATTACTATACACCCAAAGCGTAGCATCCAGAGTGAATGAGATGGGCTGTCCTGGTTACCCTGCTCTCTGAGACCGAGCATCTTCCATCAATCCCAAAGAGGCTAGCGTGATTCACTGATGCTTGGCCCCTCCATGAGTGTTGTTTTTCTCGCTCGCTGCCGCTCCTCGTGCAACCTCCCGTGCCCCGCTCCTTTCTGCCTCAGCTTCGCCTCTCTCAAACAACAAGGCTTCTCATGCATCACAAGTCTGCACCAACGACATTTCCTCTCTTCCTAACCTCCGCCTGAGCAGCGTGTATGATGACGTCTCGTACAATCCCCTGTAGCCTTATCCTCAGTGAGGCTGCTGACGAGGGCGACCCGAAACTCATCCAGCTTCACTCATCGTCCGATATCATTATCAGTCTCACCACAAAAGGCATTCGACTTTCATTCCCTCGCAGCAAGGATCGAAGTATCTGGAGCTGGTATTCTGCCGATCATGCAATCAAAGACTCAGCGGTCTACTACGTCAAAATCGAGCTACCGCCACAAGGTTTCGCCGCGACCACCCGCGAGCTTACCGAGAAGCACAACGGGCTATCAGGCCTTGAGGGTGAACTGAGTGAATATAGACTCATTGAGATACAGATCTCGCCGCAGTACAACGCCACTGTCGTCGGCTTTGGCCTTCCATTCCATGGAGCGAACACGACTGTTGATGAGTGGGTCAACAAGCATACTCCGATCGCTGGGGTCATTTCCCTACCAGAGATCCTCCAGAGACGAAACTTCAGTCTCCTGGTGAAGGCCAGCAAAGATGACATTGACAAAGTCATCCAGGGCATCAATGAGCGGCCCCAAGCTGGCGACTATGGATTCGGTGATGAGTAAGTCTTGCTGCCTCACCCTACATCCCAGCTAACTTGTACAGTCAGAGATGGAACTGGGACCGATACAACAGACAAATCCCCAGAACGAGAGGAATACTGTTCCGCGAAACAACCCGTTTCAAGAACCAAAACGAGAGAGACACTGCTTGGACGCATATCCACGTTCAAGACGTTTGGGACTTTCACCACGACCTGGAACATGTCAACGATGTTGAGATGCCGGCGCTCATCTAGAAGATTGGCAACGAACCCATCAAACATGCGACAAGATACTTGTGTCTCCTGGAACCCCCGCGAAACAACTTCGTAAGTAACTTGTCCCAGTCTATGGCCAAGCTAACATGTCAAGCAAAATCGGCATTGGCGAGCTGTTCATCGCGCGCTCAAGGGATCCTACACGAAGCTACAAGTCAAGTTCCTGGCGAATGACTCCCGACGTCGTTCTGTTGTCTGGGATGCATCGCCTGTGATCTATGGCGACTCAGAACTCCCGTCAAACATTGACTCATACGATCGAATTCCGCTGGTCTTGCTGCGCCCGGACACCGGCGAAGGACACGACTTCTCGCCCATTGCTCACGAAAAATATGATGGAGTCAACGAGAAACTTGACCGGGACTGCTTGGAACTCATCTGCGAATCGAACGCGTATGGGGAAGAGCTTCGCGTCAATGCTGTTAATCGTCTGAGCGATCCAAAGGTCTGGCCTGTCACCATGCAGCGAGATCCTCTCGCGTCCAACAAGAAGGCCATTTTCAATGAGCTGTTGATCGGCAAGGGACTCTGGAATCTTCATCGCTCCGGCGCCAACGTCAACTTGCCTCCGTTTGATCTCTTCAAAGATGTACCCGCCGAAATTCGAGACACCTGCCTTGGCTCTGTTTTCGAAGGTGATCGAAGCAAGGTGCAGCAGTACTTCAGCAGCCTTCATTTCGGTCTCGGAATTGTTTCTGGTCCTCCTGGTACTGGAAAGTCGACCCTCGCCTCGGCCATCACAGTTCTCATGTGCCTCAACACAACCATCAAGCACGTCTACCTGAGCGCCGCTTCCAATGAAGCAACTGACAATATCCTCGACCGCACCGACGCCCTGGCCAAGTCCATCATCAAGAAGCTCACCGACGATGGTGTTTCCGTCAATCAGCTGATGGTCGTCCGGGGGTACAGACTCAAGGATGAGCAGGATAAGTGTCTCCGAGCTTTGGCTGGACTGCGATTCAAGCCTGGCTCTCGAAGCGCGTCGGCGTGGAGGTTCGAAAACTCTTTGTGCTGGTGGACACTGCGGGTTCTGGCTTCAAGCGCTGTCCCGGAATTGACCTCGGACGACAACAGCGAACTTTGGGAGCTTCACCAGAGACTCAAGGGACTCTCCGTTTCTGGCGTGAAGCCCTCCAAAATTTCCGAGTTTTCTGGCCTTGTGAGGTTTGCAGAGGAGCAGGACCCGGCGAAGAAGCGTAGACTGTACTCAACCGGAAGTTACGAGAAACCCTTGCGCAATTTGATGGCCTTGGTCATCAAATGTTCCAATGTCGTGGCCACGACTCCAGCCACATCTAACTCCTTCCTCTACAGATCATACAACTCGGAGGTGGCTCGCGGCGTCATCTTTGATGAAGCTGCCACGCTTTTCTGCTCCGATGGTCTGTTGGTTCTCGGCAATACACCTCGACCCATGATCATGTTTGGCGACACCAAGCAGCTTGCCCCTGTTCTCCCGACAGCCATGGAGTTGCTCCATACCGGCAAGGACAGACGCGACAAAACACCAGAGGAAAAGCTGTTTCCCACCAACAGATTCGCCAACTTCTACCGCATCTCTTGGTTCCATTTGTTCATTTACCTGGGATGGCCCGTGTTCAATCTCTACCGCCAGCATCGAATGGCGCAAGGTCTCTTCGATCTTTCACTGAACACGGTCTACCCCCATTTGATCCCTTATTTTGAGTACAGTCCATATTGTCAGTTGAAGAACTTTCCGGTCGGATCGCAAGTCGAGAACTACCTACGAATTGAGCATCACATCCCATCGGCTGGTGCGGATCGAATCCAGCCCGTATTCTTCAATTGTCTCAAATGTCCCTGCCGAAACTACCCTCACAAGGCGACTCGATTCAATCCTCGACAGGCTGATCTGATTGCTGAGTTTCTGGTCAAGATGATCGAAGACCTCAAGCTCAACCCCGCCGACATTGCCGTCATCACTTACTACCGAGCGAACCTTGCAGCAATCCGGAAGCGATTCAGAGACGACGATCAACTCAGGGATGTTACACCTTCAACAGTCAACACGTTCCAAGGCCGGGAAGCTCAGATTGTGGTTCTGGCTTTGTGTGTTACCCGCGAAACCGGGCCATCGTTTGTCGCGGAGCAGAGAAGTCTCAACGTGGCGCTGACTCGACAAAAGTCAAGTCTCTTGATCTTTGGAGATATCGAAACCACGAACCAGAGATACCGGCTCCTGCAAGAAGAAGACCATGCCGATGATGGGCTCCAGAAGCCGGACAGGACAGTGATTGACAATGTCCTGCGCACCATTGCGACCAGCAGACGGGTTGTGAATCTACATGGCAACCCAGAGATCGACCCAGATGGAGATTGGGAGAACCTGGTGAGGCAGCCTGAGTTTCTTGGGTGATCGGTCCGGCAACTGGAGGATGAGATTG